CTAGAGAAAAATTATACGATCTGTATAAGCTGGATAAGGTTCTCATATTAAATCACGAAATACTTCACTATCACGTGGTTTAGCTACAAAAACTTATTTTTTCATTTGTGTCCGGACAAAAAATTTACGACTAATTCCACCCATTAAAAAGACGGGCTTTGCGTTATAGTCGCAAATTCGAGCAATTAAAAATAAGCGTTTGTGTCCTATTCAAAACATAGATCGAACCTATTACAACAGATTGATATAACAGCCACTACCGAGCATTTGGTAGGAAACAACAGTGGCACCAGTTACCTGACAGATCATTTCAACGAGGCTAAATTTTTAATCTATCGATATGTCCATTGAAGTTACCTACAAAAACCTATTTTCTCTCTTGTCACAGGTCAGTCAAACTGGATCATTGATTTTCGTCCCCCAAAAATTCTGGTTGATAAACATGACTGTTGACGTATTGTATAGTACACGAATCTACTTTTGTACGCTCTGGTATCTTTATCGTTCGGCTATGGAAATCCATGTACCCTGACATGGGGCCATGGTGTAGAATGAATATCAGTGAAATAAAGTGGTTTTGATTTGGCTGAACTTAAAATGATAGACTTTGAGCATTCCCGATTTATATCTAAATCGCTTTCTCACGCTGTGGTATGTTTACTGTGGGTCGGCTATGGAAATACTGCCGGTCTTACAATCTAATGAATGTGATTAAAGAAAAACTATTGTCGGGGTCAATGTTCAAACGGACTGGTATTACTGGATAGAGAAAAAGCTACTAAAGATACATAAAAGATCCATCATTTCACCGAATATCTTCATATTCGCAGAATACTGGTAAACTTCTATTCTTTATTTCGGTCCTCAATACCTAATACCCTAAAGTTATCACTGTATCTGATTATTTATGTTCAATAATCTATATTGTCCTGGTAGTCGCAATTGTTACATCGTCCGACGTCGTTCATCTGTTCTCAGCCGTTCAGGTAACCAATTCGTAGAGTGGATGTTCGCCAGAGCAAGGGATAGCGGCAGTTTATATGTATCAAAATATTTCTATCATTCTGACTTAAGGGCAAACATATAGAGGCACTGCAGCATATTTGGAATACTGCTTTGTTTTTTGGAAATAAACTGCACTTTCTTAGAAGTTAAAGATTATTACCGCCAAGAAATCGATGATAGTGATGCTAACCATAATATGACCATAGTGTATAGACAGAGCTAATCCTTGTTGAAACCCTCATTTGTCAATGTTACTTTGTGTCAAACTACCGTACTTTTCTATAAAAAGCAACAGAAAGTGCAGAAGCCCTATGGCCGGAGCAACTTGAGATCTTGTAACTGCCCATCGCTAGAAAAAGACTGGTCTCTGTAAAGCACCACTTGATTTTTTATACTCACGATGATATTGAATGGAGAAATAAGTTCTGAAAGGAAAAATCATGCTGGTAAGATGAGAAAAATATGTTATTATAAATGGCTGAAGACCGTGTTTTCAATGTGGGCACATGAAATGTTTAGCCACAGAGACCAGCATAGTATGACAAGATACGCTCTTAATGGAGATGACTAAAGGTGATTTGCCCTAGGATGCAGTAAGTAATCATGCGTATAACAGTAGTAAGGAGGTTGCATAATAATTCATCCCCTCTCATACCTCTCATTCTTGTAGGACTTTAATGTAGCCATATTGGTCATAGTGTTAGAAGCATAAAGACAAAAGCACTAATTCATTGTAATATTAATAGCCCCCCATGCTCATCTGGCCGAGTCAACACATGTTTGAAATTCCTTTTCATTTCAGTCCAAACTGTGACCCTTCTCAAGTAAAATTGATTCATGCAGTTAGCGTTGCCTACTTCTTGGATTGCACCACTAAGACTAGCTTTATACTCGTAACAACCGTTACGGTCATAATTACCTTTTCAGCAAGCCTAGTACGCCCAACGGTAAGCCCAGGAAGCAGACGCAGAGCCGCACTTCGAAGATGCTTTTCTATGATTGTATATTTTAAGGGAGAATCTATGATGTGTGAATGATGTCTAATAGACACGTAGAATTAATGGGTAAAAAGAGTTCCTGTAGACTAATGGTATGGGTCCATTTGTCTGACTTGATCTGGTTGATTTTTCTGTTGCATATGTTCGTAACTAGTTTTTTTCTCAACTGGTCTAACTTGTGCTAAGCTAAGCTTTATCGACTGATGACGTGGTACAGTACTTACCGCCATTTTTTTGTAACTGTAGATAAGGCTTCGTAGCACTTTAGCTTTATCATGATATTCAAAATTAGGGTATCCAAATCACATCGCATCGGAGAACTGCACAGTTTAAAGGCGCACCATTGAAGAAAAAAATCTTTAACATATTTTCTAATCTCCATAATGACCTGTTTTTGGGGGGATCCAAAAATATTGAAGTACAGCTTATCTCGTTTCGCTGTGTGTAGCCTACAAACAGCACCAAAAGTATTTTTTGGCCCGAAGGCTTCAGTAGGAAGTTGCTTCAGTTTTCAAATAAGTCAACTACACCTTTCAGTGCTTCTACTAGCTTATAGAAAATGGTGTCTTTCGGTAAGGAATTCGTTGATTTGTAAGAAGTACTAAGTCAGTATTTCACATCATTTGTTGTTGCCATCAATTAGGACCACCGCTCTTCTCTTGCAGTGTTATTAGTTTATTGGAATTTCTGTTTTTTATACATAAGTGTTTTTCAGTGAATAATAGAAATGAGTGACGTTTTAAGAATACCTAAGTTCCGTGTGTTCGCAAAATCTGATTCTGCTTACAACACGCGTTTCTGATAAATTTACGAAAAGCGAGATGAAACTATGTCGTATAATTACTCTGTAAGCTAGCTATATATTTTGGAATTTTGGCGTGTCATTTTGGCGTTTCTGCTGAACTATAGAAAAAGAGGCAAGCTTGCTAGTTTTGTGTTTGCAACGTAATCAAGTAAAGCTTTGTTAAGTAATCATATAATATTTATCTTATGTAGTAGATGGTATTCAACGTAAATTTTCTTCCAGTTGATCCGTTTTGCCGATTGTGAAATCCATGATCGATGATGGTGAAGAATCAATCTCATCTCCAACATGAACTTTATGGAGTTTTTGTTGCCCCCAATCGGCCAAAGTTCGGAAAGTTTTCGTTATATACCTCTTCCACAGATTGGGATAAGATATAGTTGTAGTCACCGTTCTTGACTGTTACATCATCAACGCCATATGAAATAAGTAAACAATTCGGATCTCCGTACCATTGGCGGATCATTAGCTCAAAGGTTGTGATATATATGTATTGTCCTTCAATTCTCATATCGTAGAAAGTACTCCTGATTTCTGTTTTGAGGGCATCACTTACTATATCGGTCTTGCATTTTTTGACGCAATGAGCAATTCTCTCTCATTTTCTGATTTTTTCCGCTGTACTCTGCCCAGACTAATCTCCAGCCCATCTGTTTGGGTAACAGGGGACCGCTGTTTTCAATCTTTACCTGGAAATACTATAATAAATTTAGCACGAGCTGTCGGCCTTCTCCATTGATCCTAGTTCCGGGCATTGTACAATTTTATATTGAGGATTGATAACAGGGCAGCTCAACACTTTCAACGCTGCAGACGCGCCAGGCCGTTACCACCGAGAGTACAAGGCCTGACAACAGACGCGTGACGTCACCACGAGTAGGCTGGTCGGCCGGCCATCAGCACGGCGTGCCGTACATGAGCGCTAGTGAATAATTATATTATTGCAGCATATTTAATATACTCTACCTGATGTAAATAACGGATAATTCTGAAAAGTGTTTTTGGTATATGAAGACAACTTGGTGGAAAATATTAAAGTAGTTATTAACTATTTTCAGCCTGATTTTCACTGATATTTCATCCAATATTACGTGCACATTAGATTAATAAGTTGATGTTATAAAAGCTTGCTAAAAATGATAAATTCTTCAATGAATAACTCCATGGTAGTCACAACCGATCAACAAAATTTCACAGGAATATGTGGACAATTTACTGTTATTATAGGCATAATATAATGGTACTTGAAAATTATATAAAAAATGTAATGCTTGTTGTGTCCAGCAAGAACCAACGAGGAGGTCTGAGGTAAGCTCTTGCCTGGAAAGGAATAAGGAACAGGAGGAGGAGAAAGTGTAGGATAAATGATAAGAAAAACAGATAAAATCAAAGTAAAATAAACAATAGAAAAAACATAACAAAGACTAACGAAAACTTAATAAAAACTCTTAGAACAAACAAATAACAGCACAAAATAATAACAAAAATTATAAAACAGAAAACAAGTATCGAAAATAACAAAAATTAGAATAACGAAAATTAAAGTCCTAAATTCTGAATATGTACAAATAAACATTTATCTACAGTTATGTAAATGTTGCGGCCTCATGTGAATGTAGTCAATTTACGTTTCTTTGCTTTATTCGCGCTTGCAAAGCTGTCGTTCATTTTGGCATAATAATTTTTCAAAAATGTATTGCAAATAACAATTAGTTTTATAACATAATCTGGTGAATGGACTGTGCAACGCGAAAATGAAGTGTCGTGATTATTATCACTGAGATTGTTAATTATCAACTGAGAAAGAGCGCAGTGATTTCTAAAAATGATTCGTTGTCACTTCCCAAAACTTTATTAAAAATTATATGACTTAGCATGACAATATTAGTAACTGGATCCTTTGGGAATTTTACTCAAATTCTGTGTAATATTGTGCTTCTCTTCTCTATCAATATCACCTGTGTGTGTCAAATTTTCCTTAGAATGATGGCAGTGATTTTTCTTTAATAAGGCATCACAACAGTAACCAGCTAAGTAGGTGATGACAGGGATTTCATCATTTATACTGTCAATATCGGACTGTAAAGCTTCAATTTTGCGGAAAAAGCGGTAATCATTAAAATTGTGTGGAATTTCATCTATTTCTAAATCATCATTTTCACAGAATTTGTCTATTTGAATATCACCATAGCGAGACTTCAATGGCATCAGGCTTTGAGTTCGTAACTCTTTTTCAGATTCATATAATTGACGAATTGATATATTATGTTGACCCCCTTCCAGTTGCCGATACTTACCAAATCTATTTTCCAATGAGTCGGTTTGAAACTGCGCAGTTCAGATTTACAGTACCTTACTAATTCCAATAAGCCAGATACTGTACTATGTAGTGCAGTATAAGTCTGACTAGTTAGTATTTTTGAAAATTTTGCTGGATCATTCCACTCTTCTAGCCAATCTAGCATTTTTTGCAAGAATGTCAGCTTACTGTCATCACCTTGTCCATCACTGTTGGAGCAAACAATAGGCTCTGTATAACATTGACAATTCTCCACCACTCCCATATAATATCAATGAATTTTGCTGTCTCTTCGGAGTGCTGTATGTTTTTACCAAACCTTAATACTGCATCTATTACAAATGGGTTGAATATCTTGAGAGCTAAATGAGGTAGGTTGGTAGGGTATAAAGCTTTTAGGGTCAAACCATAACCATTTTTAAATATTTTATGACTTTCCATTTGGTACAATGTTTTAAGAGATTTAAATGAAGCACTCATGTGTTTCAAAATCTGGGTATGTTAAAATTTGGTCTGGTTTTGAATTCAGCCAATTATTGCGGATTCATCTTAGAAGGTGCACTGTATCGAAAAGGAAGAATAGTGGACGTTTGTTATCCAACGGATGCAGATAAACAATGCTTGTTTTATTATCTGGAGTAAAATGTGCCATCGCTTTACTATTCAGTGCATTATTATCACTTACAACACAAAAGAATTTATAACCAAGTTCTTCTAATCCAATAATAAGTTTTTTTGTAATATTGTATAATAGATTATGATCAATTTTAGAAACAGGACAGATTTGAACAACTTCTTTGAAATTAGAGTTGAAGCTTGAAATCATAAACGCATAGGCTGTTGTAGCTAATGAAGTATTATTGATTGACGTTCCAACAATATTACCCCCTTTGAAATCTAAATGTGACTGAATGTGTATTTCATCCATCAATAAAATTATGTTCTCCTCACCAGGTTTTACAAATCTGAACAGGTTTTTTGCATAGCCTAAAAAGTTATATCTCTCATCTGGAACTGGATCGACCATCAATGTATTACATGTTGACTTCAGAGTATTTTGGTGTGGTAAAATAAGTGCTCCATGGCTCCTAATAAATCTATATGAATGTGGACTGATTGTATACAACATAGAGCAAAACACTATTGTTTCTGATGAGTACCTAAGTCTGTTCTTCTGACTAATAGCAAGCTTTAGTTGCTTACAAATAAATTGAATGACAGTGTGGGTCTCTTCATCGGTGAATAGTTCTGTGCTATTTAAAATATTGTAAGCATGGTTGAATAGTGGCTCTGAACTGATCTTTACCTGAATATTCCCTCGAAGCATCTAGATTCTTAGAAAGAACATGCAGAACATCATCCAAGTGGTGTATCTTAGATAATAAAAATGGAGTTTTAATATTACCTGAGTTGAGTAACAATTCTTGGGAGTACATATACCTTTTTACATTGAGATCTTTATCAACAATTACAGAGTGAGTTATGATGGGTGCTGGTTTATATTCTAACTTAAACAAAATAACTTTATCCTGAACAATTTTATGCCACCCATATGGACATTGCCATGAACCGAAAACTGTGAGAAAGTCTGAATAATTTTGAAAACAAGTTGATTTTTGATAGGAGGAATAATCATCAATGCTACTTTGCAGTGCTTTAAGTAGTTGTACTTGTTCCTTGTCCCTCAATTTCTCATCTCGGCTTCTTCTGCTTGATATGTCCTTTAAAAGGTATTTTGGACAATTTGCAAACATACTTAGAATTACGTCTGCCTTTAATTTTGAATATTTATGGGGTACAGTGATGGTCCTACCTGTCTTTTCGTCATGGAAGGTGGATTCCCAAATGATGCTATCCTCAGCCAAGTGCAAATCGCATACTCGGGTGTTTTTTGTAACCACTAAATCACTACGAGGGTTTGCATTGAGCCATCTTTTACGACAGTTTTCATTCAATGGAAACTAAAACAAGTGTACCTTCGGACCCTTCCCGTAATTACCGACACAATTCGGAACGCTAACTTAGCTAAACAGTCGCGAGACACAAATAGAAGCTTAAAACATCAATAACTTTCAGTTTACATAGCATAGAAAGATACATAATAGAGGCTCAGAATGTGAGGCTAGTTGGCTGTTGGACAGCTGTGGGAAGCTAGCGGTGTTACCAAGGTTGCCACATATTCCAATTTTGAATGGAGTATGAGACTTCACAAGTGACAGATTGAATGTAATATCGAAAATGTATTGTTACAGTGAAGGTGAAGGTCAGGAATTTTCATGAAAGTGACAGGTCTTAGAAATACTGTTTCCACTTTTGTCGACTATTTTTTTATAAAAAGCAAAATTAGAGTAAAACGTCAGTAATTTCATGAAAGTAACTGGTCTTAGTAATACAGGATTTACTTTTATTTATCATGTGTATTCTTGGGTTTTATGTAAAATTTTTTTGCAAATGTTCCATTATTTTTGTCTAAGGTGCATTAAACTCTTAAACAGACGACCTAGACTACTTCATAAAAGATTTGTTGAAATAACTTTTGAAAATGCTCGTGGCACACAAGGTTCTTATTAGTAGCGATGCCGGAGGTGAACGTGACAAATATGACTGAAGGGCACACAACTAAAAAACGCATGTCTTTGAGCTTACTGAACAAACGTTCACGCACAGGGATAGGTTGCATGTGTTCGTATGAGGGAGATGGAGATATAATAAAGGGGTACTGGTAGTATTACTTTGACCCTCTAAGAACGCTGACTACAACTGTAGGATCGTCTACAAAATACACATTTATAATATCCTCCTGATCATTATAATGAATCAATTACCTTCTACTAGCTGTATATATCGCTTCAGTAGGACGTGCGCTTCAAAAGATTAATCTTTGTGTAGCAGTTCCATTTTTGTTTGACAAATTTAAGCAGAAGAGCCAAAAACATCCACACAGCTTCCAATTCTCAACGGAAATCAGATCATTTTGCGTTATGTTTCTGTCAAATTTACCAATCTACCATAATATTTATCACTATCAGATGTATGACGGAATGGCTGACAGTGTGGTGAGGTATCTGATTAATTTTCGAGCAGTATATGAACGCACCTTGATTCACAAAGATGAATTTACGAACAATTCTTTGACAGCTGGTGAAATGATTTGCTACCACGTTGGATTCTCGAACACATGGTCATTTGTTATATGCCAAGACTTTAACTATTTCCATTGCGTGAAGTGTCAGTTCTATCAGACTATTTTCACATAATGATGGTGAAAATAATAGCGCATTAGCAGAAAGTGAAAAAATTAAAACAAGAAAGTTCTTAAAAATGTGTGTGTACTCGATCTGACAATTATAATATGTACAATACATTAAATATATAAACTTTATAGGCACAAAAAGTGCTGGTACCTATAATAAATATTAGTAAGGTTCATTCAAATTATTACATTATCTTCTATAACTTTCAAACGGTGCGCTCGTAAAAGCACCTTTAGTGCTTTGGTAAGTGCTTTAAACCTATTTTTGTTGTCACTTATTCTATATGTTTGTATATAAACTGTTGTTTGGTGCTCCGTTTCATGACGTTTTCAATATTTCTTCTCAGCGAATCTGGCGGACGTATTCCGGTCAGATTTTCAGAATCTATATTCCCAAATTCTTCGGTAATGGTCCATTGGATGATTCTGGCTGCTAATTCGTTCACTTCTGTATTTATATGACCTTCTTATTTATTCATAGCTCCACGTATCCTATGCACTCAGGAACAACAATGATAGATTTTTTATTCGTAACCTAAGTTGGACACTTTTGTAGTAGATGGACATTGGACCTAACAGATAAAATTAGGTCCATATTTATAACAGACCTGTCGCTAAGAAATGTGTTGTGATTGGAAACGTTGTTTTTGACCTGTAGGATTATCCATTTTTGTTACCACGCCAGACTACGTAACTGCAAAATATCGGCAGATATCGCTATTTTTGCGTGCTTGAGTCAGGGTTAGGTTAGAAAGCTTGTATTTGGATTCAGAGCAGCAAAATGCTTTGGAAAAGTATTATCAGGTTTCTGTGTAAACATTTTGTTGATATGTGAAATAATCCACAATTAAAATTGTTTCAAAATTTCATCTCTGGTCTTTGAGTGAACATTTTGTATGCCTGTGGAATAATTTACATTCAAAATTGCTCCAAAATTTCTTCTGCTTAGCTACTGTTTTTACAGGGTTTCTGTTTTTGCACAAAAGAGTCTTTAGCGTATTTGAGAATTGAGTGACGTTTCACTGATACCTCAATATTTGGTTTATGCTAACTCATTGACTGATACCATTTTGTGAAGTATCAGTACTTTTACACTATTCTCACATAATGATAGTAATAATGGCGCATTAGCAAACAGTGAAAAAATTAAACCAAGAAGGTTCTTCAAAATGTGTCTATATTTGATCTCAATCGTACATACAATTCAATGAATATATAAACTACACCTATACTGTAGTTATGAATTGAAGGGTGCGCTCGTAAAGGCAGCTTATGTGATTTGTTTAGCGCTTTAGACCCATTTTTGTGGTCATTTATTATCTCTGTTCGCTATATCAACTGTTCATTGGTGCTGCGTTTCTTGATATTATCAATATTTTTTTCTCAGAGAGTCTGGCGAATGTACCCCACTGTTGATCATAATCAATATTCCCAAGTTCTTCTGCAATAGCCCATGGGATGACTCTGGCCGCTACTGCGTTTATTTCTGTATTAATGCGACCTTCTTCTAGCTCCTTCATACATAGCTCCATGCACCTTATGCATTAAGGGACAACAGTTACGGATTTTTATTTTTCGTATCGTGAACAGTTCCTCCTTTGACTCGACTGCCAGATTTGATAGTTCGTTAGATAAATGCTGTAAACTGTCAAAGCCATTTCATGGCTAGTGGAGATATTAATAGATCTCAAGATACTTCATTATTTTTAAGTCTAAACCATTGCGTAGCAGTTACAGCGTTTACCTGTTTTACCTTTTCACACGAAATGCGATATTATATGATATAATGAAATACTGAAACTCTCCTACATAATCTTTATACATAGCTACAATATTTACAATTTACAAATTCGTGTAAGATTTTATCTCAGTTTCCTTGTCAATGGAGAATTTCACGAGCCTTGCAGCTTCGATGTCGATCTTC